GCAGGAAGTAAAACTAAGTTCCAGTTGGTCTTTATTGGAGTCCCAGCTGGTCTTCATTTGAGTCCCAGGGTGTAGGTAAAGTCATTTTCCAGCAATATACCAATGAGGTAGAATGTATCCAACTGAAAAGAGGTTTAGATTATGCTGCATTGTTCTATACACAAAGTTTATGCTGGTGCCTCTGCTTGAAATAATCAAGGTAGAGTTTGCCTCTTGTCTGTACAGCCCATTAACATCACAGAATAAAGAATCTTCTTGTGCACTGCCAAGCAGATGTGGTTTCAGTCATTTATCAGCATCTGGAAGAATATAACCTTTTCCAAGAGAAACTCCAGCTTTCAAGGCTTCTGGCCAACTTTTGGTCTCATAGTAGGTTGATAAGGCATCAAAGACTGTCAAAAAAAAAAAGTGATAAAGGTCAGCCCAAATAGAGATAACTGGAAATCTGGGTTCATTTTTCAGTGGTTTGAAAAAATAAAGTCAGAAAAAAAATATAAAGTGTTGCCATCACGGTGACCATGGGTTTTGCACTGGCCTTTGTTCGGATTTGGTGAGTGGACATGTCAAGAAACTTGCGTTGTCCATCACTTCCCCACCCCCATATTCTCAAAGGTGTTTCACTGCCATAAACCAGCAGCTTTGGGAAACTCTGACATCTAAGTGACAGTCATATCGCCATTCTGGCAACTCACCACGGATCAGAACAACCAGGGCCTCCTGAGAACCATCAAAGAACATACCAGCTTGTTTCCAGTAACTGCCACAACACCATGTTAGTGTTTCCTCACTGCCTAGCACTTTTGAAACATGAAAATGTTCAGTTATAAACCCAGGCCATTGTTTTCAAACCTGGGTTTCTGAAGAGAGGCACATAAAAGCAAGGGAGCCTGCATATACACCTGCCTGCACCTAGCTTCCCCTACACTCATCTTAGCCAGTAGTATTTTGGGGTACGCAAGGTAGTGTCATGCAGAGATTCCTCAATATAGTATTGAGGCATTAGCATAAGCATCTGCAGCTATACTGCTTCTGTGCCATGCATGCTCCTGTGCACAAGGTAATACATTCACACCTTGGTCAAGGCCTCTGTGCCCAGTGCCATGTAGACTAACCTTCATCCCCCCCACCCCTGCCACTACCTCTGTAAGACAGCAGCAGCTCTTTCCTTCAAACCAATCCTCCCCACTGGGCTCAGTAAGGCAGTTCTGCACCCAGTAACACATCTGGGCAGGGGAATTTCAGGCATTGTAACCACCTGGACAGTGGCTATAATATTAGTGGTGCTCTGCAGTCATAAAAGACTGTTCCTGGACAGGGTGTCTTTGACCATCAGTACCCCAGTCTGGGTACCAGGCAGACTTGAGGCAACCAGTGTATTGTTCCTATGTGCTAACCCAGGTCTCTCAAATTTGGCATTGGCCTAATTCTTAGCCAAACCCTTCTTCCGCCCGCAACAGGTACTGTAAGTGCTCCACTCCTCTTCTTGCTTTAATCTAGCCCAACTCTGGCACCTCCATTTGCAGCCAGTTGTCTGTTCAGACAGCTGACCAGTCACCAGTAATCATTACTTTCCCATTCCTCCACCTCACTGCAGACCAAGTGCTCACCAGAAATTAAACATGGGAGCCCAAGCCTCTTAGGAAGGTCAAGGGGCAGAAGGCTGCTGCTTAGGAGCGTGGAAAAGCTCTAGTAAAGAGGTGGAGCCCACAGAGACTGCACATCCCAGCCCAGCAGTTCACTGGGAATAAAAGTTCCTTTAGCTTCTGGAAATGGGGCAACCCCGAGCTGTAATCAGAACTCTGCTGGCCCCACATCCTGCAATGGTGTTGCCACACAACTGCACTGGACAGTCTGGCCACTTACCCTGATTGATGGCTAATATCTCGGAATGATAGTTCTTCTCATTAACGTTCTTCACCATGTACTCTCGGATGGGTAGCCGGGCTGTCTGCAAAGAATGTTCTTGTGCCTTCCGCAAGGTCAGCTTCTACAAGGCGAAATAAATTATCACACAAACACTTCTATGCAGTCATACAGCTTGCTAATGCACTGTTGTTTGCTCACTGGGGTGTTACATATAGCTTGGGAGATGGGTTTATGCCCTTTGTATCTGGCCAAAGATAATACAGAGACACCAGAGCCATCCCTGTCAAAAATCCTACACTCCTCCATCCACTATAGGAACCATCCTACCAGATTAACCCACAGGTCTGGCATGGTCTCTGACAATGCCTGGCACCCACTGTCTGTGACAAGAAGCTACAGAAAAACGTACTCATAAGGAATACTTTTTCCTGTCCCCCAGTGAATAGAAGCTGGCTTGTGCCCTGAAGCATTTAACATATCTCTTCCAGAACTTTGAAGGAAGCTGCCAACCAGTCATGCTTTAATATACAGTAATGAGGACCCCCCCCCACAACACACAGACAGTACAGAGAATACTTGCCAGCTGCTCTCACTCCCAACCCCCTCTCATTAGAGTTAAGGCAAATAAGTGGAAAGGGATGAATTCCAACTGCACTTGAGTTTACATGGCTTTGATCTCTCAATCTAGGTTTCAGCATGAATATACCACAAGGACTCAACTGGTATGATGTGCTTAGTAACTCACAAGTCTAAGGGCTTCTATACATGTGCACAGAACTTGCTCTGATGTGCTGGAAATCCAGCACATTGAAGCAGAGTCAATTAATCAAGACCACTGGAGCACACAAATTGACACGCTCTGGCAGCCTTCCGCATCATGTGTATCAGCATCCCAGAGCATCTCTGCGCTGAAAAAATAGCAGTGGGGTGCTTTGAAATACAACACGTTCAATGAGCTTTAGTTCAACGTACCTCACAACCATTTTTTCAGCATGGGGATGCATGAGGACACTGACACATGATGTGTGAGCTAATTAAAATGCCCAGCACCTCATCTCACACCACATGTAAAAATGCCCTAAGATATCAGCAGTCTAAGATATTCAGGCAATTCTATCAATAAGTGTTTTGGGAATGGATGGAGAGGCTCTCAAGGGAATTTGGCTCCTTCCTCTCAAGCAGCTTCAGCCAAGTTATTTCCTCCATGTGGGCTCAGGCAAACCATCCTCCCTGTATGACGTCATCAATGGACCCCACAGGTTTCATGGCAACATACCAGATAAAAAGTTGGTCACTTAGAAATTCAAGGGTAAAAGAGCAGGATGCATTCAATGATCTGATCATGCTGCAAGCAAAGAAAAGAAAATGGCCAGGCAGCATGCAATATTGTCCCCAACAGCTCCAGCAGCACTCGATTAGGAAAAGGCTCTGAAGAGACAGAATTTGGAAAGTCTTGGGTGCACTTACCTTCTGAATGCTTTCATCCACTAGCCCCCCAAGGATGTATACTTTACTTGAATCGACATCCTCAAGGACTAGAAGCAAAATGAAGCACAGATAGGTAAGGCAAGTGCCACAGAAAGATACACCCCAAACCCGCCCGGAAGTAGTGAAGCTGCAGCACTCAAATGTGTGAGCTCAAGCTGTGACTAATACTCCATACTATTCTTGTAGTCAACCCCCTGCTTCAAAACTGTGCTCCAGAATCTAAGATTGCTTTTGTGGGGAGTGGGGTGTGACATTAAAGTCTGCCTGAGTCTTCAGAGAGCCTGAAAGAGCAGTTCAAAAGTTGTCTGAAAATGAAGAAATCTATAGAAGCCACAACAGCATGGCTGTTAACCATTTCACTGCTGATAGATTTGATAAATGGTTAGTTCACTTACCCTACAATTCCAGCCTCCTTCCCACGGCACTCCTCAGGTCACAAGTCCCAAGCTCAAGCTTCTTCTGTTCACTGACAAAACCTACATCCCCCTTCACTCCTCAATGTTTGTAAATCAGTCATGTATTTTCAATACAAAATTCTGCAGCACATTTCAATCTGATATCAAGGTACCTAACAGAGTGGATGTTGCAGTGACTGTATTGGAATCATAGAAAATTAGGGCTGGGAAGGACCTCAGGAAGTCATCTAGTTCAACTCCCTCTCAAAGCAGGACCATCCCCAACTAGATCATCCCAGCCTAGCCTTTGTCTAATCAGGTTTTAAAAACCTCCAAGGATGGAAATTCTACAGTCTTTCTGGGTAACCTGCTCCAGTACTTTACTACCCTCCCAGTGAAAAAGTTTTTCCTTATACCTTCCCTAAAGTTCCCTCGCTTGAGACCATTGCTCCTTGTTCTGTTGAACAAGTTTGTTAATTTCTTGCTCAATTCAATAAAACCTAACATGTTAAACAATTATAGGACAGCCGGCTGGAGATTCTGTTGCTTCAAAATGCATAGCATAAAATTTAACTTGAGTTAGACAAAGAGCATGTGGCACCTTAATTCTGTTTAATTCACTGCTGAGATATCTTAAATACTGATTATTGGAGATGGGTTAAGAATTGAGACCTCAGCTATACTGGTTAGAAACTGATTTGTCTGAAGTAGTTTAAAACCTGATTTAAGAATAGCTTAAAACCATGACATTTTCTTACATTAATTACAGATTTTAAGAACAAGCAAAATAATTACCATTCTCAGAGTCTGGAGTAAGAAAAACAATTGTCTCTAAAGGAAATAGATCAAGGTAACTTTCCTGAGTTGTATCCATCTGGAAAATACAAGATAGGGAAAATAGCTAAAGTTAATCTGCCATAGGACGCAGACAAGGTATCAAAACTGGCAATGCTCTTGATCATTTAAACTGAGATTAAGACTGTTTGTCAGAAGAAACTAAACAACGTTAGTTATATGTATATGCCCATGGTAATAATTTCCCAAGATTGCTTCTCTATTTTCACATAATTCCCTTGTCCTTTCCTGACCAACCTTAGCAGGTATGTATTGAGGGAAAGGTCTCAACAGCAATCTTAACTACAAAAAATACTGCATGCCAATAATTAGAATATCATCTGAGATGGAACTCTCAGTTTCATATTCCACCTCGACCCCTTCTCTCCAAAGACTTCAGTAGGAACAGAAGTATTTTTTTTTTTTTCAGTCCTGCCTTGGACCCCAAGCCATGGACCAGGTCTTCACTGAGTCAGACACTGCACAAACACATAAGAGATGGTCACTGCTCAAAAAAGATTACAGAGTACTGTGGGTGGGTTTGATTCCCTGGACAGGAGAATGTGAATTCTAGTCCAGCCAATCAGCTGTGTGGCAATCTGTACAGGAAGTCATTTAGGTGACAAAGTTTAGGTCAGCTGCACCTCTGCAGTTCCACTGATGGCAACAGCATTTTGCAGGAGTAACAGAGGTCGCAATAAGACAACAGAGGATTTAACAGATTTAACTGAGGTCACAGTTTCGCCATATAAAATCTTAGTTATTGTAAGGACAGGCTAGAAGACAAGTACCCAGCTCAACTCTCACATTCTAGCTGAGTTAGCAAGGCAAGGCTGTTAGAAAAACCACATGTTTATTGTCAGTTGACAAAGCTAATCCAAAGTCGAAGATGCAAGAGGCACAGGGCCCCTACAATGCCATATTTTGGCATCACTTGTCGAATATAATCAAGCATAGAGTCAAATCTTAGAACACAGAAACTGTGTTCATCAAGGATTCATTTCATTCTGTGGCCATAGCAAGATGCTTTGGGAGAGGGGACAGGAACCCCAAAAGAGAGGGATGTTGGATGGTCTCATCCCAAAAAATACCAATGTCCTTCTCTTTTCATTTACTTTGCAGCAGTTCTACAGTCAACCTATGACCAGACTGGAATGTAATTCTCTCCTTTTCTCTGGCTTTGAATAAGATACCCTGGTCTCAATTTTAACTAAGCCATAGAGAGACTCAGTCCATTGCTAATCTGCTGGGTATATAGAAAGGTAGGGAGGAGGAAGAGGAAGGTTATATTTTTGTGGTGCTGTCTTCAGAAGAACTCCTGTTTAGTTCACATTGCTAGAAATCACTATAGCGATATGTTTTGCTAGGTGGTAGAAGACAGTGGACGCTGTTAGGCAGAATTCCTGCTCAAATGCCAGCAGGTGCTTTGACTCCAGGTACTTACCAGATAGTTGGAGAATCCATCATTCATTCTGAAGCACTCATCATAAACCAGACTGCCTGGCACAAACCCCGTGAGGCAGATCCAAAATGGCTTTTCAGCTTTCTTGTTGGAACCGTATAGCCTCCTTATCTGAGCAGCAAGCCGACTTACTTCCTGCCAAGTGATAAAAAACACCTGCTCACAGCAGTTTCTCAATAGTTATGGGCTAAGAGCCCATGAGGCTGCTTACAAGGGCTCCGCTAGGAGATATCCCATCAAACCATGGATGTGACCGATATTGTAGAGGGAGCTGAGCACCTACACTGTCAAATGGATTTGCTAACAGGTATTTTTAAAGGATATTCTTGAGGGCAGTGAAGACTTATGCTCTACAGCATGGTGGCAGGACTGCCAAGGCTCTGTTCTGCCCAGTGTGGCACAGCAGATTGCCTCTGGGTCCTCGCAAGAGGCAATACTGTGAACCAGGTGCTTCAAGAGCACACTGCATAGTTACAAAGCAGGCTAGGTGACTCAAGGCCCTATCAGGTACTCAGAGGGGGAACATCACACCCACATACACAGCAACCCAGGAGTCCAGCAGGGACTGCACAAGTCCACAGGGGTGTCAATGGGAAGCAGTGTCCATGCCTTGTGCTGAGAGATCTAACCAACTCTGTGTACTCTAAGTCTTTCAGGCTCCTTCGATAAGTTTGAGGAGTAACAGGCACTAGCTAGCTGGTGTCCCCCCTTGAAATCCTCATTATTAACCTCCGACCTTCACTCTCATTCTTATTTTTTCATCTGTTGTCCCAGGTATTCAATTGTTATGCGTTTAGTAGCCTCCCACAAACCAATGAGGGGAACTTATAGTTTTTTCAGTGGGTCTAGGCCAACTGTGCCTTGTGTAACAAATAGTTGGGTTTTTTCTAGCAACCATGTACCCTGCAGCATAAGAATAAAGCTCTGCAGGACCACCACATTTGGCAAGAGATTTTGTCAGTGTTTCTGAACCAACTGGCCCCAACCTCAGTCTCTATCCCCAGGGTAACCTGACATGGCTTGAACCTGGGGAAGCTTTCCCCTCTCCCTCCAACATCCTTTAAAACGAAACACTTTGTCGCAGGCACACTGCCATATAGGAAAACAACACAAAATCACCTTTCAGAAACAGTTACACAAATAGAGCACCGTCACTACCCAGGTCCTGTAGCAGAAAGCCCCCTTTTCCTCTTGCCTGCATTTGCTCTCCTCTCTTTGGATACGTTTCTCTTTTTCTACCTTTTCTTCCTTCCTCTCTCTTTCACTTTAAGATAAGGAATTGTGTATGTGTGCATTTTGTATCTCCCCTTGTAGTTTGGTATTTTTATCTATTTGTGTGCCATGGCATTTGTAGCTTATATTTTATACTCCTCACCTTTCAACTTTCAACTGAATGTATTTAGTTTCATAAGTAAGTTATACATTGTAACAATGTTAACAAAGGGCAGGAATCAAACTGACCTTCCCTGTATCACGCTAGCCCCTGAAAGAGCGAGTGAATCAGTGATTGAATGTGTAACATGGAAGCAGACAGCAATTATCACCTGGAAGCTGCAGATCAACCATCGGAAGAACTCAATAGAAGACAATGTAACAACCGGGAAATCTCTAAATGTCACTGATCAAGGGCTAGAAGCCCTGGCCTGAGTTACTCAGCACAAAAGTTGGTCTCTGGCGTTGATTATCTCCAGATCAACTGCTCCCAGAGCCCTATTCTAAATTCATCAATGGACTCCCAAACCTGCACGTACATGCAGATGACCCCTGGGCCTGACAGATGCTGTCCAGTAGCCACGGAGGCAGGGGAAGTCCCACGAGGGTCAATGACCCCTTGATTGGGCAAACCTGAAAACTGGGGAGTCACCAGAGTCTGCCAGGGATAGATAAAAGGCAGTGAAAAGTGACCCTCAGTGGCGCCCTCTTGATCTCCAACTCGACCAGACCTGTCCAGCCAGAAGGACCAGC